ACACTTCCAGGCATGGGGCATCTACAACTTCTCTGGGCAACCTGTTCCAGTACCTCACCACCCTCTGAGTGAAAAATTTCTTCCTTCTATCTAATCGAAATTTGCCCTCTTTCAGTTTAAAGCCATTGCCCCTTGTCCTATCACTACACGCCCTTGTAAAAAGTCCCTCTCCAGCTTTCCTATAGGCCCCCTTTAAGTGCTGGAAGGCTGCTATAAGATCACACCGGAGCCTTCTCTTCTCCAGGCTGAAAAGCCCCAACTCTCTCGGCCTGTCTTCATAGGTGACGTGCTCCAGCCCTCAGATATCTTTGTGGCCCTCCTCTGGACCCGCTCCAGCAGCTCCATGTCCTTCTTGTGTTGAGGACTCCAGAGCTGAATGCAGTATTCCAGGTGGGGTCTCACAAGAGCAGAATAGAGGGGCAGAATCACTTCCCTCGACCTGCTGGCCACGCTTCTTTGGATGCAGCCCAGGACACGGTTGGCTTTCTGGGCTGCAAGCGCACATTGCCGGCTTATTGTTGAGCTTCTCATCCACCAGCTCTCCCAAGTCTTTTTCCTCAGGGCTGCTCTCAATCCATTTTCTGCCCAGCCTGTACTCGTGCATGGGATTGCCCCAACCCACGTGCAGGACCTTGCACTTGCCCTTGTTGAACTTCATTAGACCCATCTCTCCAGCCTGTCAAGGTCCCTCTGGATGGCATCCCTTCTCTCCAGCGTGTCCGCAACACCACACAACTTGGTGTCATCTGCAAACTTGCTGAGGGTGCACTTGAGCCCACCGTCCATGTCTCCAACAAAGATGTTAAATAGCACTGGTCCCAGTACTGACCCCTGAGGAGCACCACTCGTCACTGGCCTCCACTTGGACATTGAACCGTTGACCACAACTCTTTGAGTGCGACCATCCAGCCAATTCCTTATCCACCGAGTGGTCCATCCGTCAAATCCATATCTCCAGTTTAAAGACAAGGATGTCATGTGGGACAGTATCAAATGCTTTGGATAAATCCAGGTAGATGATGTCAGTTGCTCTTCCCTCATCTATCAATGCTGTAACCTCATAATAGAAGGCCACCAAATTAGTCAGGCAGGATTTGCCCTCAGTGAAGCCATGTTGGCTGTCACCAATCACCTCCTTATTTTCTATGTGCCTTAGCATAGTGGCCAGGAGGATCTGCTCCATGATCTTGCCGGGCACAGAAGTGAGACTGACTGGCCTGTAGTTCCCTGGGTCTTTCTTTTTCTCCCTTTTTAAAGATGGCGGCTATGTTTCCCCTTTTCCAGTCAGTGGGAACTTCACCAGACTGCCACAACTTCTCAAATATGGATAGTGGCTTAGCAACTTCATCTGCCAGTTCCCTCAGGACCCGCAGATGCACCTCATCAGGTCCCATGGACTTGTCCACCTTCAGGTTCCTTAGATGGTCTCGAACCTGATCTTCTCCTACAGTGGGCAATTCTTCATTCTCCCACTCCCAGCCTTTGCCTTCTGTAACTTGGCCTGTGATGTCTATAGAGATGATGTCACTGACACCAGAAGTGTTGTGAAATGTTTACTAGAACTGAGAGTGGAGTCTCAGAGGGGAAGAAAAGTCTTTTAGGAAAAACCACCGGCCTAGTGGTTTTCTTCTTACCATCTGCAAGTCTAAACTCATTCAAACCTTGTCTCTCTCTTCCTGCCTTAAATATCAACCTAGAGAACATTTGCTTTCTCCTGTGCTTTGCCTGAGGACAAACGTCTTTTGCATACTGCAACCTTGGGATTGCTGTTACATAAAATAATATAAAAATGATGAAACTATAGTCAACAGTAAGTCATCTGAAGACCTGGTAACAAATCCTAAAGGTCCGCAACCTACAACCTATTTCTGGGACATGTTTTAGAGAGTTCCAGGCTGCATACCCATGAATCAAAGTTATAACTGACACTTCCTAAAGGACCAGAACTACACGGCCCTACCACTCAAGCTGGGGCTGTACCACCGTGTGAGGTAAAGACAACATGGCCACATTCAAGCGGAAAGGATACAGGACTTCTCCAGGTTTGTTATTATGGCAAAAAAGCCAGTAAGGAATTAGACACTGAAATCTACAAAGAGAGAGACTTTCAGATCTACTTTCCTGGCAGAAAGGAAGGATTGCAGTCACTTCTGTATGAACTGCATGAGCACGTGTAAAACCAAGCAGGAAGACAGTGGATGGTAACCACTGGCTGGAGTGTATGCTTTTGTAACAAATAAAACTCAAATACAGCTTCCCTTCCACCTGGAGGAACACAAACCATCTTTTCATATCGGAAACCTGCGAACTGCCTCACGTCGCAATCTCTGTCTTCATTCCTTGGGAAAGATTATTAAAAAAATGTAAGTGCAACAGTCATAGCATTGGTCACAGTGACCAGCTTCTCCGGTCAAGCTATTGACTTTAATCTGGAGATAACTGGTCTGGACCCTTCCTTGCAAATATGGGTCAAAGATCCGGTATCTAAACTAACACTTTTGGATTTATCAGCACCTTTTGAAACCTGTATTGCCAAGGTCTTTCTGCCTTGGCTGTGAAACATGAGTGAGTAGATGACATTCGCAGTGCAGTGCTCTCTGAGTCACTCAGGGAAACCCCTCTGAGGATCAGGAATCACTCATCTTCTTCAACGCGTCCTTTATTCCTGATTCCCGCAACTCATCTCTCCAAGTAACCATCTTTTTATTTAGACTCACAAGAACGCGCTGGGAATCAGTCAACACCCGTCCGTACATCCACCCTACCTGGCAAGAGGCTAGAAACCAACGGAGGCATCCAAGGAGCAGAGCAGGCATCCAGAGCAGCCGGGTCGCAGCCTGCGGCCAGCACAACTCTCTTTTTGTCACCACGTACTCATCCCCATCTACCTCCTCG